CATTCAACTGTTTCCCTTTCTGTCATATAAGAAACTCTTGTCTAAGCAAAAAACATTGTGCTTTGGTGTAGTTTGGTTTTTATCCCTCTTGGGGGAAAAATAAGAAAGGTTTGATGGATGTTTTTGCAGTTCAGTTGACTAATTCGGTTCCAAATACCATTCCCCACCTCATGGTCTCTCTAATTGTGTCTATAATTTTCCAGTTTTTAGGGACTTGATTTAAAGTGCCTTCAGTTTAAGATATGGTGGTTAAGATATATGTTTAAGGGTGCTGTGGGAGGTACTTCTTTGGATATTACTTGTGCCAAATCCTGCTGCAAATAATTTGGTGTCTGTATTCCCTTAAATGGATAACGCTTAGATTAATCACTGTTTTCTGGAGAGCCCAAAGTATATGAATGTATAATGAGGAAAATAATCTGTATCAGCAGCTTACTTGAAGAACTACTGTTATCAAGACTATTCAGTATTATTGTTGGTGCAACTTCCTTCCTGTGTATTCATTTGTATTTTTAATATAGAGTAAGAAAACTTTATCAATTCATACTAAGTATGAAAAAAATAGGAAGTGTTCATGAAGGTTTAATTCTATCCAACAATGTATAAAGTATTATTCTTCTTAGTTTCATGATCATTTGTATAACACTATAAAAAAGACTACCCCATTCAAAGCAGTTACTGAGTAAGTTATTTCTGTTAAAATGCTTCCCTTGGCAAAGGATATGTCTAGTATGTGTGTGTGTTTTTTAAACATATGTAATATGGCCCCCACTCTACATGCTGCCCTGGAGGTATGGACACTACACAGCTAAATCAGCCACATACTTGCAAGACTGGTTAAGACTAAGATTTGCATTCAAACTGCTTTCTTCAACTTTAAAAAGTTCTCAACTAATTTTTGTCTGTTGCATGTCATGGGCAGAAAACATAGCAGCATGGTAGAAACCATGTTGCTTGTACTCTTTTAGAATGATTTCTGTATTTGCAGCTTCTGTTATATCAGCAATATTGTGTTCAGAGACAAACAGATTACATAACTCTTTTCCATTTGCTTATCACCTAATCACTGTGAATCTTGTTCTGCTCTTTAAATTGTAGATGATATGTTATTTTAAAAGTACTAGAAATGAAAGAAAAATTTATTTTTAATTACCAAAAAAAGTATTTTTAATGTAGAGTTGGTGAACTTTGAACTTATAAAATGTTCTCATATATAGCTTATATTTTAAGTTTATATCCAGAAATAATTTGATTTTATTTTCACCATAAGAAAGCACTGAATTAGGAACAAAACAAAAACTAAAATCTCATGTTTGTTGTACCACTCAGATAGCAACTGGGAAAAATATTAGGAAGGGCTGACCACATTCTAATACCATTTACAACTTCCTAGCATTTAGTATAATGTCTCTACTGGCATAACTGGATATACCACATCAAACTGTACATAGAAAAACCAAAGTAAGCACCGGAGTGGAGTGTAGACAAAACTATTAACTACCTGAGCAGCAGAAAATTTTAAAATACATTTTTGGACATGTAGAATTAGTCCATCAAATTCTACACCTTGGTTTGGTCAATAGTGTAACTTCAGTTTATTATTCAGTTTCAGCTTTGATCTGAATTAATGAGTACTTCATTGATTTTAAATTGAGTGGCTATAGTGTTGTCTTCTTTGTTGCTCTCCTAATTAATTGAAAAGTTAAACACTGTCATAAATCACTCTTCTCCTTTATTTTAAAATGCTATGAGTATTTTGGTAGAGTGTGGATTTGTGATTTTGCCTGTTTTTATATAGTATTTATATATGTCTAAACTGAAAAATGCAATGATCATATTTAGAAGCATGCTGTCACGACACTTAACTATACTCCATATAAAATCACTCTTGAAACTTTTCACAGTCTCAGCTAAAGCTTCACTAACAATGGATAAATAAAAATTTATATAATTTTCCTCCATATTAATTTTAGAATATAGGGAAGTGAAACTATATTTAGACATTTTTAATCATTGCAATAAGTCTGATTAGCTGATTAGGTGTTTTAGATTAACATAAAGCTCTCTAGCCTCAGAAGACTTTTAAGACAAATGGTCTTGCTTTAGATTTCATTTGTAAGAAAAAAGAGTCATTAAATAGAAAAAAAGCTCTGAAAATTGCAATTTAATTCAATGCAGCTTAGCTGCATAGGATGGTTCTTTTGCCTGTTGAGCTTCCAAAATACCCTCTTTTAAAAAAGAAATTAAATTACACATTTTATCTTTGCCTCTTGGTTCTGTAATGTAAATTTGTGAGTTTTTACTGCATTAGAGAATGAGGAAATAGTTTCCCAACTCCTGTTGTTTTGTATCTGGATCTCAAAAAGCCAACAGACAGAAGTTATTAAGTTAATTCTTTACTAAGATTTCATACAGATCTGGTCTCTCCTACATGAGTCCATACTGCCATGGCCAATACGGCTTTCCAGTCCTTCAATAGGTAGGCAGCTTGGAATGTTTTCACTTCTAGTGAAACAATATTGTGATATTTGTACAGCATACACCCAGTCTTTTGTTCTTACAATTTTCCCTGAACCCTCATGAATATTTTTCAAAAGGAAAAGTCCATATTAATTTTCAGTTCCTCAGTATGCATACTGATAAAGAGATGTAGTCTCTACAATCTAAGTATTTACAAACACAAAAAAGTATTTGTTTTGTTTTTTTAATTGTGAATCCTCATATCAAAAATCATAATGTTTAACAAGCTAATACATACTTTGTGATGTAGTGATATTAATTGCATTTGTATACCACAGTGCAGCCATTTTAAAAATGGGGTTTATATTTTATTGTTCAGTGAGTGTCAGACCTCAATACTGAAATAGAGAGTTTGAAACTAATAGGGTTAAAAGGACTTCTACTGTCTGTATTGTGTATATATTATACCTACATTGCTTATACATTGTTTTTTTCCCCCTAGTATTAGCAATCTGCTTTTGTACTTTGACATAGGGATTTCCCTTGTGAATTTTGTCACAGAAAAAAGAGAATCATCAATATCGCAGTTAAACTTGACTTTCAAAGCTAATAGTATCTCATTTGGGGGCTGAAATTTAATAAATTTTCTTTGATTCTGTTTGAGTTTTTAAACATCAAACAATGAATTGGCCAGGGTGCAGTAAAATATTTAGATCTATTGACTACGGTTCAGAAGGGTAGAAGGCAAAACACTGGTGGTTTGATGTTGATAAATTCTTAGTACCTTAATCCACATTAATGTTTTCTTTTATCTGTGTGCATACTGGCAGCAAAGACACTGAAAAGTTGCTGTGTATATAAGCTATAAAAATGTAGATTAAGTGTGTGCGTGTGTGTGTGCGTGTGTGCATGCGTGTGTATTTAAAGCAATGTATTTTGTTATATTCAACAAGGTTAACATCTGACCAGAATTACACATGCTGACAGAACACTCTAGAGAGTATGTTTGTTCCATAGGACTGTATATCCTGAACCTAGTGCACTATGTGTGCAAAAAAATGTGTAGAGGACCTTTCCTGTTATAAAAATTGCATCATAGTGCATATGTTTGGCAGCCACAGGTATTGACAGGAATTCTTTAGGTCAACTTGGGAAATGTAGGACTCCCTATTCCCATAGAACAGAGAAACGAATAAAATAAAATCTCTTCTTCTTTGTATCAGTAGATTTGCACATGCTTCTTTCAATCAGAGCAGATTTCAAAGGCTCTGCTATTATTTGAAATCTGTTCACACATAATCAACATTTTACAAGAATCTAATTTTGTAAGTGGTTACAGAAAAGTAATCTGGGACATAAAATGAATATATTTATGTTTTAATTCATGTTCAGTGCATTCTCTCAGGCAAGGCAGCCTCTAAAAAACCCTGGAATTTATTAAATAGTACTTAGTAAATGTTTATCTATTGATTTGTGTGTATTTAGAATATACCCAGTATATGTTTTAGTAAACTATTTTTGCAGTATGTACTATTGCTCCTCAACAGATGCAGTGTATGACAAACGAATGGATTTAATCTGTTCGTTTGTACTAACATATATTTGTATGTCTGTCTGTCTGTGTAAGAACATCATCTGACGACTGGGACCTCCTGGAGGTGGACATTGTAAATTTTGTATTAAATAGAATGAAAAATGGATGTGCGGCATCATATGGCGTGTGTCTGCCGGTGGGAAGCACGCATTAGGTGCGTGAGACGGCCTGTCCGCGCTGCCAGGCGGGCGCACGACATGTCGCGATAGGCAGGGCAGCGCCGCGCTTCTGCAGAGTTCCGCGCCCGAGCACAAAGCGCGGGCGGCGCCGCCGCGCGGCCGGCAGGTGGCGCTGCGCGCCAAGGGCGCTGGGCCGAGCGCGGCCTGCCCGAGCCGCGCTGCGCCGGCGAGCGGCCAGTGCCTCCCGCCCTGCCCAGCCCGCAAAAACCTGCATGCCTCCCTTCCTCCCTCTTCCCCCCCTTGTTAATGGGAAAGCTACAGCTTAGTTCGTTTTGCTTTATTTGTGGATTATTCATTTTATTCTGACTTTTGGCTGAGTTGTTTCTTAATGAGACTTGTTCTGGAGGACTGATACCAGAGTAGGGAGATCTCACATGCCAGCTTCTCATTGATGTGATCACATGAACTTTTTAATTTCACAGCTCCTGTTTTTTTCAGTTACAAGTAAAATTACTGTTTCGTTTCTTACGAGGTTTTTACCGGCGACAGATCTGTGAAATGGATACACCAGCTGGGCTACAGAGCCCTTAGTGTCTTTTCTTCTCATTTCAGACCAGGGGAAGATGCTTTTTCTTCTTAACATTCTCTCCCAGCACTCTGAATTAGAGATTTATTTGCAACGAAAAATCAATTAGTCCTAAATTTATTCATGGATTTCAGGTCCAGCGATCAATGCAAGTCCACTCAGTGGGCTCAAGGGGACCCAGTTCATCCCAGTTAATGTGTCTGAAGGGGAATTACCATTGATGCTGTTTTTTTCCCTTTAGGTCAGAGATCAGGCTTTGCTGCTGTGTACTGCAGCAGCCACGAATGACTTCACCCTGGAGCTACCCAAACTGCACCTGGAGACCTTTTCAGAGGAAAGGCTGAAGGGCAGGCCAGAGGCTGCAGCATTTCAGGTTAGAGTCTAAAATAATCCTGTTTCTTGTTTTCATTTTTTTGCAACTGAGAACAAGAAGCTAGACTACTCTGAATGTGTGGAGAAGAAAAATGCATCAAAACAAATGTAGTCAACAGTTGAAAGAGAAATAATTTTCATATATACTGTTAGATGTGGTATTTCAGAGATTATGTGAACTTTTAATTTTGCAGGTATAATATTAAATAACTGACAGGGATATGACCATGGAAAAACACAAATTCTATATTTGAAAATTAATATTACTCTATCCCACTCCCCTTTCCTCTATGAAATTTAAGCAAGACAAGTAGAAATTATAAGCAGGGAAAAAAAAACCCCAAGCTTTCTATGTTGCTACGTGGTCAGTATCATATTTTTTCATATTTAAGTTTTAGAATTAACAGTGATCTTTATAACTCATAATTTAGAAGAATCTGCTATTTGGAATACTTCAGTGCAGGAGCTGTTTTGTTTATGTAGGTTTAAATACTTATGTGTTTCAAAATAGTAATTTTATTGGGAGGAAACTGGGGAAGAGAAATAACTGACAATATACACGTCTTCAGTTGTGAAAACGGATTCTGTGCAATGCCTTTGTATTGTTTCTAAGTTTGTTGTGTCTTCTATATAAACTATGCCTTAGTCTTTATAGCTGCACAGATTACATTATCGTTAAAAGCAGAATATTTTGTTTTCCCAGTGAGAGAACAAAAGGCAGAGTGAGGACTTATTTCTTTCATTGTGCTCTTCTATCTGAATCAGAGAGAGTAAAGGCAGTCAAGCAAAGTGCAAGGATATGAGGGAATGCAAATATTGCACAATGTGTATACTTTTCTGTAGTAACCTTTTAAAATTTATTGTGGATTTTCAGTTCTAGATGCAGTATATAATTGCAGGAACAGTGTCACAAAACCAAACATTCAAGAAAGGCAGATGCTAAGCTGGAAATTTCTCACTGTTGCCCTTTTGCATGCATGTTTTTCAATATGAAAAATATTTAAATTGTGTATTATCATGTTTCCATAATAAAGGAGCAATACGTAACACCGTGAGATTCCTGTGCACTTTAGAAAGCACAGCTGTACATCTCTGGCAAAGGTTGGGCTGCAAATGCTTCCTCTTCTTCTAAAGTGGCAAAAATGTTCCACAGGTGCAACTTTATTCTACGAAGCTGTCACAGAAATCACCAGCTTTTAAATACCACTTTTCTAATTCAGAAGCCTGTTTGGTGATACCTATTTTTGTTTTTTTTATCTCATCCCAACTTTCATACATTTCTGATCTTCCAATGATTGCAGAAGCATTTCCAAGATAGTCTGTTCTGTCATTATTTCTAAAAACAGAAACAGATGTATAAAAAGTTGCATTTCACATTTGAACAGAGTACTTACTTGTGCTATAGCTAACCCATAGTAATGCATGTGCTGCACTGGTAGTACAGTGATATAAACCCACTTTTTGTTTACCTGACAGCTTCAGTTACACTTGGTTACTCTGTGCATATACAAACAGCTCCAATTGTTCAGTTCGTATCACTGTGAGGTTCTTTTCTGCCTTTTTTTTCTCCTTTTCCCTTTTGCTTCTCTTTCTTCCTCTTCTCTCCCTACCTCTAGTTACATAGTGCTTTTTTGATAACTTTCTAAACACATTATAGATATTTTCTTATGGAATTTTCCTTTTTATAGCTGGGAGTCAGCTAATTGATGTTAATTCCATGTAAAACTACATTAAGAGCAATCCTGTAGTTTTGAATTAGGTAAACTGTGAGTAATCAGTTTATGGACACTTCTCTTTAAAACCAGTGGAATGGTTTGCCTGCATGTTCTCTAGAGCTGCTATAGTTGGTCTATGATAATTACAATTCAGTTAAAGGCCTTATTATTTACAAGTGTTAGACATCAGCTTTTTCTCAAGTTTAAATTTATTGGTATTTGATGGTATAATTTTTAAAACTGCATGAAAAATTGAGATACTAAATTAGACAGTGTGATAGGGATGAAGCACTGGCTATCGGAACTGTTGAGTACTAAGATGACATTGTCCTATTTTTATTATTCATGCATCGAGTTTGTAGTAGGTGGCTGAGATCATTAATTAATTGTATGTCCATTGGTCTGAGTGTTATCAGTTCATCATATAGAAGTGGCATGCATGTTTTAAAGGATGGCACCCTCTAGTTTTGACCTCAATGAAATGAAATATTTGGAGACACCATTCTGTATATCTGTAGTCATTTGTTAAATTCTTGAGGACTGCAAAAGAAGTACTACAGTAGTTTGGAAATGTCACTTCAGTTGGATAAAAAATGAAAAAGGTATAATATCTCTAAGATTAAAATATGATTGCTATAGCTTTGAAAAAGTCTCACCTGATACTTAATTGCTGTGAAGAATGTTATGTCACGAAATTGTGCTATTTGTTTTTTAAGTTTGAAAGTGGAAAATTATAGTATTGTTTTCAAGCACCTGGAACACACTGAACACAGCATTTAAGGTGTGCTGTTCTGGCCATTCCCTAATGTTCCTACTGGAGACAAAAAGTGGAACCATATGTGAAGCCTCCTGTGAATATAGGATATAGGGTTAACAGGCAACTAAAATGACATGGTATTGCCAATTCTGGTAGTCTTGTTTGGCAGATGACTATTTAAATTAACCAGTAAAGATTATCAGCTCTTTCTAAAATATAAAGTTCAACAGTGTTACATCTTTAGAACAAGAATAAAATTACTTAATAATCTTATCACTCTCTTCTTTTTTTCTCTCACAGTAAAAGTGTGCATTCAGAAAACTAATACTGAATTGTCTCAAGTACTTTTACATCAAATATGTAATTGATACTAATGCCAAGCATTTTTACCTAAAGACAATTCATAAAGTCTCCAAATAAATACAATGAGATTTAAATGTTTATGTATAAATAATTCAGTACTGGTGCATTATCAGTTTACATTTCTTATGTTTGGAGAGGTAGACACAGAAGGCTAGAAACTGGTATGAAAGAAATTTCAAATTTAGGTACTTCAAAAACATATGTTAATGTTATGTTTTAAAGGAATTACAGTTGATTTGTGCTAAAATGACTTCTAAATATTTGTCAGTATGACCCAACCTATCTGAAGACATGACTCCAGATACAAGAAAATGTAAAAGGATCTGGGAGTGCTGGTTGACAGCGGCTTCACAAAAGCCAGCTTTGCCCATCTGGCCATGAAGGCAAATAGCATCTTGGCAATACTGTGTCCAGCAGAACCAGGTCAGGGATTGTCCCCCTTTGTTCAGCACTGGTGGAGGCCACACCTCAAGTGCTCTGTCCAGTTCTGGGCCCCTCCCTCACTCACTGGAGGACAGGCATTGAGGGGCTGGATTATGTCCAGAGAAAGGCAACAGAACTGGGGGAGGGTCTGGAGCATAAGTCTGTGAGGAGTGGCTGAAGGAGCCAGTGTTGTTTAGCTTGGAGAAAAGGAAGCTCAGGTGACACCTGTCCTGGTTGAAAGGACAGGCGTCTGCCAAGGAAGGCAGGAACCTCCCTTGGAATGGAAAATGTAACCCCCTCCTCTCCAAATTCTTACAACTTTGAAATTACGGGTTTTTCAGGCAAAGAATAGAAAAAGGAGTATCAGTTCTTTATTACTATGTATGTATGTGTACAATAAGACACACAAGCACCAGCAGCCGCTGCGGACCCAGCAGAGCCCAGACCCGCTCCCGGCGCTCCCGCGGCCGCAGGCGCCGCCCGCGGGTGCAGCTCCGGGCGCGGCCAGCAGGGGCGCTGCCGGCTGCCGGCGGCAGGGCGGGTGCGGTGCGGTGCCTCCCCGCGGCTGCAGGGGGCGCTGCGGCGCGCAGCCCTCAGCGGGTCATGGCGGCCAGGGTGGCCACCAAAGACTCCAAAGCAAAGACTCCAGAGCCGTGGCAGGAGCTGTGGGACTCCCGGCGAACGTGGGGTGTCAGGTTAAAGCGTAGCAAAAAGCCCGAAGCAGTGGCAAACAGCAGCGCTGGGCAGTGGCAGGCAGGCTGCTGCAGGCAGCTGCCTCAAGCCGCCAGTGTCTCCCTCCAGGAAAGGATTGGGTGTTGGGGTCCCCTTCCCAGTGAGGCCACGGGTTGGAGAGGTTCCAGTTCAACAGCTGCTCTTGCACCCATGATAAGGAGATGTAGGGAAAGACAACAGCTCTGCAGTGAATCCTCTGGCCCCAACAGTCCGGCATGAAAACCACACTGCTCGGATCCCAGGAGGGAGAGAGCTGGAGCAAGGCATGGGCCCAGCCCCTCAACCCCAGCCAAAATCTGCTATCTCTGCACTTCACAAAAGAAAGCCCCTCAGCCAAGAGACAAGCAGCGAAACCTTCCCTCTCCTCCTCCTTCCAGCCACATCCTTTGTCTCTTAACTATTGTCATTATCATCCTTTAGGCAACAAATGGGAGAAATATTTGTGGGAGAAATTAAAAAAAATCAAAAACTCCTAACCTCTGACACCTCATTGCTCTCCAAAGCTACCTGAAAAGAGATTGTAGTCAGATTGTATTCAGTCTCTTCTCCCAGGCAACTAGCAACAGGACAAAAGGACATAGGCTCCAACTCTGCCTATGGAGTTTCATGTTGGACATCAGAAAGGTGGTAAGGCATTAGAATGGACTTACCAGGAATATGGTGGAGTCACCATCCTTGGAGGTGTTCAGAGACGAGCTGGATGTGGCACTTGGTGCTATGGTTTGTTGGTGTGGTGGTGTGGTCAAGGGTTGATGGAGGTCTTTTCCAGTAATAACAATTCTGTTTTTCTCTCCTCCAGGGGGGTTTGACATGGCTAAGTTTTCACTTTGTCTTGCCTGTCTCTGCCTGTCTCTGTTTTGTTTCTCTGCGCCACACGCTCTCGTGCTCTGCTGCCTGTCCACATGTCCTCTCTGCTCACTGCTTACTGCATGCATGCCCTCCTGGCTGTGCACTTGCTGCTGTGTGCACACTGACCACGTGCACCCACTCTCTGGTGCTCTTGCTTTCCTT